AATCGTGCTACACATTTCCACCACGAAAATGTGCCCTTTTAAGGTTGTCTATGGTTACATTCCACGGGCGCCAATTGACTTGCTGTCCTTTTTGACCCTTTGGACGCCCCACATGTCGATGTTGTTGCACGTGTTAAACAAATGTTGGACATCCATGAGCAAACACAGCAGAACATTGCGCACACTAATGCTAAAAATCAGTCATTGGTAGTAAAGGACGTAAACTTGTTACTTTTGAACTTGGTAACTTGGTTTGGTTGCATTTGCGCAAAAGATCGCTTTCCTAGTTTGCTTGTGTCTAAGCTGATGCCCGTCTTCTTTGGTCCCTTAAAGGTGTTAAAGAAAATCAATGATAATGCTTATATACTTGACCTGCTGCAGACTATGGTGTTTCCTCTAGTTTTAATGTTGCAGATTTGAAACCATATGCGGGTGAGGCCGAGGAGCTGCCGTTGAGGGGCGACTTCGATTCAAGAAGGGAGGATGATGAGGACATCAACCCCGACACGGGAATGGCTACTCCAACTGAACCAACACAGCGCCACCAGGACCACTTACTCGAGCTCATGCACGTGAATTAAACTTCGTGATGATTTTGAAGAATGAAGGACCGAAGTTTCCTAAGTGCATGCGCCATCTATGCTCATGATGATGAACCTGCCCAGAATAATGTCTAGGTGCTGCGCCACCTATGTGTTTTTAGTTTTGTCAAGAAATAACCAGGAAGGTGCTCATACCATCTAAATCAGAAAGGGATCAAGGAGATGATGTGTGGCTGTTTGGGCCCTATTCCCGCCTTGTGGGCAGGTGGGCGTCCTCCTTCCTCCCTCTTCCCCCTATTTAGCTGTGGCTGCACCCCTCTTTAGCTTGGGTTTTGTTTTGCTTAAGTTAGCCATTGCTACTTCCGAAGCTTCGTCTTCGTGTAATTCAGAACCCCACCTTCGAGTAATATTCAGGGTTGCTCGCCTCAGATTCTTGCTTGTTCTTCGATTGCCAGCAGGAATTGATCTTCGTGATCAGGTTGATCTAGCACCAGCAAGGTCAATAACCATCGGGAGTTGGTTCAACGATTGCTAAGGCGCCACGGACTTGTTCGTCGTAGTCGGATCGCGAGGGTCGACACCCACCAAATCGTAGTTATCCTCCACTCACCGAAGGATCGGGCACTCCAGCTCTATCACGGTTTAAAAAAATACATTGTATTTAGATATTCTGCACCATTGTACAATGCATTTTAGCTTCTACGAGATTATATGAAGGATTATGTATATCAGTCAAAGATAACATATTTAGGGCATCATTCCATCAGTTCATAAAAAGGACAGTACTCATTTTGGAAAGACGATTGTTGTAGAGTGCTTTCTCAAGGCTTTTGCAAGTGGTCGTAGTCAGCACAGCTTCTCAATGATTGGATGAAGGCATCTCCATGTCCATCACTCCACTGATTGCAGCAGGTGACCAACAACCGAGGAGGAGAAGTAAGCGTCCGACACAAGGGGAACGCTGCGGGCAATACACACTTCAGTGATAGGGTTCTAAGAACTGCTAGACAGAGTACAGCTGATATCCTTGCTTTCCAAAAATAAAAAAGTCTGTGTGTGATTAGGAACTTTTTATCTCCCAACTGTAGTCAAAGGAACCTTTTCAAGATAATAATTAGTAAAAACATAAATGATATGTCTGGTTGTAGAAAGCATCAAGCAATGCAATGATCAAAAGTTACCAACTTGCGAAGATCTCATATCTACTCTGAATGTTCAATGCTGAAATTGCCCAAATGAACCTAGCAAATTGCTAATATTTAGAACAGAAAAAAATTAGTAAAACATCACCTTATGCCCTCAAAGGAAGAACAATGCCTGTGTCTGAACTTCTCATGGTCCGAAAGCAGATGCTAATGCACACCACCTCATCGAGTCAACCCTTTCTGCTGAGCTAATCAGCGTGTCCAGAAGTCTAATCTTTTCTCCTCAATTTTTGAACTATTCTTTCTGAGTTCTGAATCCCTGCAAAAATAAGAACCTAATGCTGATAATACAGGTTGAGAAGAAAACAAAAAGAGCCGATGAAGCAAAAAAAAAAAAAAAAAACAGGATTAGGCATCGATCACCAATCAAAAATAAATGAGAGAATTCCTTATTTGACACCAGACAAATGACCCGTTCCTTTCTTGGCCCTCAAAAAATTTCCGTTCCCTATTTGACACCGAGTTCAACTTTCGTTCCTTATACGACACTCCGTCGGGTTTGCCATCCGTGAACCGTTAACTGACATGTGGGCCCCACCACCCTTCTCCCCTTAACTGACATGTGGACACCAGACAAAACGACGGCGGCGCTTGGACGGGGCGCATCCGCGCGTGGAGGTGGCGGCGCAGGCGCGCTTTCTGCGCCAGGGGCGCGCCCCCATCCCATCCCGCGGCGAACTATCGTGGCAGCAAAGCGCGGCGGCGGCGGCTCCAAGGCCGCCGCGGTGCCACCATGTCGAAGCTTCTCGACTCTCCGAGTGCTCCAGCTATGACGGGCTCGCGTCTCGAAGCGCCGCCGCCGCCCGCGAAGTCCGAGCCAGCGCCCGGAAGAAGAAGGCTGCCAAGGAGGCCGGCGTCCCTCGGTGCGCGGCTCGCAGGTTCCTCAACGCCATCTTCAACGGCAGGCCTGAGCCGCCAACGCCGCCGTCGTCGTCACGGGGGGCGGAGTCCACGTGCTCCACGGCGTCCTCCTACTCGCGCTCAGGTCGTCCAGGAACTGGAGCAGCAGGAGGCGAGTTGGGCATCGTCGTTGTCACGGTGGGGACGTGGATCGACTCTTGCGCCAACTTCAACTGCATTGGCTGGGCAACCTCGCTTCAACATCCTCTCAAACACAGCCAGCGCCTCAAATGGTTTCCCGTCCTTGCTGAGGGCGCCGATCACCAGCACATAAGCATGTTGAGGTATCTCCTTCCCCATTCCCCTCTCTTCCATCTCTTGGAACAGTGCTATGCATTGTGGAAACGTGCCCTCGCTGTAATGGCGCTGCATGAGAGTGAGGTATGTCACCTTGTCCGGCGCGAGCTCTGCCTGTTCCCTCATATCCGCAAGCCGTGCCATCGCATCCTGCGTCCTCCCCGCGCGGCAGTACCCCTTGATGAGAATGTTGTAGGAAACCACGTCGGGACGCACTCGATCTTCCGTGGACATTGCGTCGAACACGTTGATGGCAGTGTCAAGGAGGCCAGCGTTGACAAGGCCGTCCAGCAGGCAGTTGTAGGTGAGCCTGGACGGCTCAATGCCGGCGAGGCGCATGGCCTGCCACACCCACAGCAGCTCCTCGGAGAGTCTGAACGCCGCGAGGCTGCGGATCAACGAGGCCGACGACGCCGGCGCGAGGTGCCTCAGGACAGCGTCCCCGTGCGCGCGCAGCTCTGCGACGAGCTGCCGCGCCTGGCCGGCGGCGTTGGGGCCGGCGGTCTCCCTGGAGCGCGCGAAGGAGTGGAGGAGGGAGACGTAGCAGCTGAGGAGGTGCTGCGGGTGCGCGAGGAGGTCGGCGTCGTTGGGCAGGGAGCGGAAGAAGTGGAGCGACGGGAGCGGGTGCGGGGTGAGCTGCGGGGACGGGACGCGCCCCTGGCCGCGCGAGCGCGCCTACGCCGCCACCTCCACGCTCGGATGCACCCCGTCCAAGCACCGCCGTCGTTTTGTCTGGTGTCCACATGTCAGTTAAGGAGAGAAGGGTGGTGGGGCCCACATGTCAGTTAACAGTTCACGGATGGCAAGCCCGACGGAGTGTCGTATAAGGAACGAAAGTTGAACTCGGTGTCAAATAGGGAACGAAAATTTTTTGAGGGCCAAGAAAGGAACGGGTCATTTGTCTGGTGTCAAATAAGGAATTCTCTCAAAATAAATCAAGAGTAATGACTGAACATTGAACAAGAACAAATGACTGGCACCGACTATCCCATGTTGCTCACTGAACCAAATTAAATCACACCTATCGGTACAACCAAAATCCCTTTTCAACAAACACCATGAGAGCGTAGAGACCCAATGTGCGCATCTTTCTCTCAACCCAGTGCGCGCCCCCCCTCTGGAAACTGCTGAGCAAATTTAAAGCACAGGACCCTTTATTGATGAAGAATCAATTGAAGAACATATACTTGGGAGCACCCCTGATTACACAGGGAAGAAGCAGAGTTTGCTTCGTCTGATACCTGGAGCACACTATCAACCAATTTGTAGTATTATATGTCTGGGAGCACACTATCAACCAATTTGTCTAGCAATAGGTTCCTTTGATATATGCCCTAGCTGAAGAATTTTCATTTTGCCAATCAATCTACTGGACATTGTGGACACATAGCAGGCACAATACATGTACACACATGCAATAATTAGATCAGATCGGAATAGAAATAGCCAATTAGCTTAAGTTAGGGTTGGGTGCTCGGTTTTGCACAGCAGGAAGGGAAGGGAAGAGAAGGGGTTGGTACACCTGGTGGCAGCAGCGAGCGAGGGTGGAGGACTTGAAGCTGCTGCTCGACGTGCTGCGGCCGCTTCTCGCCAGCCGCCCGTGGAGCTCCCGCCGAGCGGGACGGGCTGCGCGTAGGGTTCCAGCCGATGCCCGAGGTCCGCGCGGCGGGCTTCACCAGCGCCGCGCGATGGCTGCGGCGGCAGCGGCTGTCTCTAGGGCGCTCGGCGGTGGCGCGGTCTGGAGCGGTCGACGAGTCGAAGGAAGCGTGGAGTCGTTTTTTTTCCCCTTACGAGGACGATAAAGGGAGTCGGGCGGGTGGGCTGGGGAGGTCTGGGAGTCGGAGGCAGGTAGAACGATTAGGTTGGGACGATTCCAGTTTCGTCTTAACAGGAGTAGAGCAGAGATAAATAAATGATCGAATTGGTATTGTTAACCATATGACCCGACCCCTCTCGGTAAATCTCAACTCCACCGAAAAGCGAAACCCCGTTCCTTGTTGCTCCCTCGTCATCGTCGGCTCGTCGCCGTGGCGATGGCGGACGCCGGCGACAACGCATGGCGCTGGTGCACGCGCACCTAGCAGACTCTGCGGTGGCGCCGCCGTGGACGCTGAGGCAGAGGCAGAAGTGGGAGGTGGAGTACGCGCGCTACTTCGGCATGCCGCTGCGGGACCTCTCCGCGCCGCCGCCACCAGGGCTCCGCCATATCATCCGCGGCGTCCACCGCCACCAGGGAACCTGGATCCCCGCCTCATGCCCCGCTTCCCTCTACGTCTCCCACCCCAGCCTCCCCTCCGCAGTCCCTGTCCTCACCATCTCCATCGGCGACGTCGTCTTCGTCCGTACCTAAACCCCCTACCTCCATTTCTTTCTTCTTTATACTCGAGTCGTATCTCGTGTGTTGCTGTTGTGTGACTGATAGTAGATCGTTTAGGTGTCCGCGTCTGTTTAGGGGATTTTAGGGAAAGGTTGTCCTGGTTTGAGGTTTAGGTTTTCTTGTTGGCAAAAATTGACGGCTCCGGGCTAGTTTTGTCTCAGACCACATAAAATTTTTGTGTGGAGTTTGATCTTTGTAAAATACATGCCAGGAATTAGTGTCCTAGTTTCGTGTCTCAGCAAGTTGCATGCCTGTGTCCAATTTGTGATTTCTAACATATCAAATGAGTCCATTCAATTTCTGGACAAGTGGTGCGCCAAGTTGGATACCCTGGCCCAATTTGTGATTTCTCAGCATATCAAATGCGTCCATTCAATTTCTAGACAAGTGGTGCACCGGATTCTTTGTGCCATGTTAGCCTGTCTTTCTATGTTGTTCTTTTTAATCATCTTCGTAAATCCTATGTTGATGCCATTGTCTCAGTTAGCTTTTTTTTTGACTTTTTATTATTTTTTTTAATCGAGAATTAAATCTGCTTTTAAAAAGCAAAAAAAATCCATACATACTTTTTATTAATCTAATAAGTATCATTGTTTTTTTTTAATTACCATGCATGGCTGTATGTGCTGTATCTGTTTCTGCAGTTAAGTTCTACAGATAATTGATTTCTCATATATATTCTATGTGTAATGTTCCGTTCATTATGCCTTTAAAATTCTCAATGGATTGGTACGGATTAATGAATGCATATGCTAGCTTGACATATTCGAGGCTTTACAGCAGAGGAGTTAATATTTCTTAGGCTGGTGTCTTCGATCTATAAAAGGGGATAGCTCATTTAATTGAATGTCTAGGATTGGTTAGTTGAGTGATTCCATTTGTTGCATGATTAGATTTCCTCGCACTCGCAGAAGTTAATTGTGAATATACCATTTAATGTCTGACAAGTGGACTCTATACTATTGGGATTTTATTGATTGTTTTGCCACGTGAGTAAAGTTGAGAAAATTGCTATTATAGACGTGAAACAATGGGCTTTGTTATTATAGGACTTCAATCGATGACTTCGCTAAAACGACATTTGAAACGTTGGTACTTTGTTTTATATGACATTTGATCCTTTTAATCACTTTTCTCATTTCAAATACATATATTTTGTCATGGGAGGACCGTATTGCCTTTCGTCATATTCACGTAAGAGTGGGCAGGCAGGTGCGTGGGCTGGCTGGCTGGCCTGGGCAGGTTGGCTGCCGCCGCCGCTGCCGCCTGGCCTGGCTAGGCTTGCCGCCACCGCCGCCTGGGCAGACTGGCTGGCACACTTGTTGTCGCCACCGCGGTATGTCACACATTATTAAAATTCACAAAAATACAGTAAAAATTCCCAAAAAATTAGAGTAAAATTCTAAGCATATAACATAATATTAAGTACACATGAATTCATCTCACATCATAATAATGTTTCAAACAAGATTCAAGTCGTATCAAATAAATCATGAGTTTACGTCTCATCACAGCTAAAATAATTCATCCAATGTATAGCTTTTTCTTTGGAGTCATCTTTTTTTTTCTGCCGCTGTAGGTATCCTCACGAGACAAGTGTTGTCAGTTTGTGAAGATGTGCCCTCTCCTAATAACATCGCAACCTTGTTGCACATAAATACGATACCACAATTAGATGTATGGAAAGAACTAGTGTACGATAAATGTGTTAATATTTCTTACCTTCTTGTGACCCTTCCTAGACTATCCCGTAGGATTTTTTCTCTAGTCGGCCTCCGTAGGGTGCTAGGTTCTGCTGGCGTAGCTTTTGTAACATTCTTCCTAGGTTGCCTATGCTTCCTACAAGTAATCAAATAAATTAATATTGATATTTACATTCAAGTTTCTAGATAAAGAAAATCAGTTCATATCTCTTTTTTACGGTCTCATTGAGTGGGCACTTGGCACTAGCTTGCCTATGACCTTTTTCTCCGTATTTTTTGCAAGTCATAGGTCCTATGATCATTTTCTTTCCTTTTTCATTTGTTGGGGCTGCATCGTTGTCACATCCTTTCTCATCTTCACCATCGTTGATAAATTCACCATCTTTGGAACCTTTCTTCGTGTGTCCACCTTTCATCCATCCCTTCATTCTTAGTTTTTTTCGTCGTCCAACAGGTAGTTAAGCAAGAGGTGCACCAACTAAAAATGATAGGTCAACTTGTGGCCATTGTGTTTTATCTGTCATCGGCTTAATCTCTCTTCTATAAGCAGCCCTTAATCTATTGAACGAGTAGTAGTCATGCACAAACTGTTCTAGGTCAACTCCTCGATGGCGGGTTACATAGGCCAATATATGTTGACATGGCTTACCAGTGTGCTGCCATTCAAGACAAGTACAGGTCCTTTGGTGTAACTTGATAATATGCCTCTCAGCTCGGCTGCTATGGTCCCACACCTCTGCACTCCAATTAGAACATGTTACAATTTTCAAGTGTCCCAAACCTCTACTATTTGCCTTTAGCTGAACCATAATAGCTAGAAGTATCCCGCCTTCAGGTAGCCTGTATGCAATATTTCTTCTCTTGTTCCAAAGTACCATGATCATTTCTCTGATCTTATCAGCAAGGTCAGCAACAGATAAGTCTTTATGGTCTCTAATCCAGTTATTAAATGACTCAGCAATATTAGTAGTTATGTAGTCACACTTAATTTCTGGATTAAAACCACACCTATACCATAATAACTTATGATTGGTCTGTAACCATTTCACTGCTTGTGCTGATTCACTTACCATTTTTGCTATATTGTCATAGAATATGTCCTCTTTGTAAGCCATTGCCGCAGGATATATCTGGCCAAACCCTCTAAATCTCTTCTTAAAATTTCTGACAAGATGATAAAAGCATTCTCTTTGCTCTGCATTTGGGAATACATTCTTCATTGTATTTCCAAGCCCTTGCAAGCATCAGAACAAACAACAAGCAGTGGATGATCACATATTGTCTTCTTTAATTGTTCCATGAAACAAGTCCAGTTATCTGTATTTTTAGAAGCTATGAAGCCATAAGCGAGTGGATACATCCAATTGTGACCATCAACTGCTACAGCTACGGCCAAGTGACCATTCCACCTTCCATTAAGTGTTGTAGCATCTATGCTCAAATGAGGCCTACAACCTTCTAAAAAACCATCAATGCATGGTTTAAGAGCACAGAAAAATGGTGGAAATATATTTGACCATCCACCTCAAGTACCTTAATCTCAACGATAGTCCCGGGGCACCGCTTCATTACCTCGGCCTTCCACCTAAATAACAGCTCAAAATTCTCTTTCTATTTGCCATAAATCCCTTCAAGAGCTCTTTGTTTACCCCGCCATACTGTGTCATATGCAATTTGACACTTGTGATCTATCTTCAACTTCTTTTGCAATTCCTTAGCATCAATATTTGAATCAGCTCTAAGGATACTCATAGCCTTGCTAGCTACCCACTTGCAACTTGGAGTTGTAGTTATCTGCCTCATGCTGGACACACACTTGTGCTTATCGACTAAGACGATTACCTTCAAAACAAAAAATCAATGGGATTGATATTAATTTACACAACAAGTAGAATTAATGAAATAATAAAAAAATTATTCACCTCCACAGTGGCTTGGCCTTTTTGTTTAGTGCCATTTATCCTCCAAGGGCAAGGGCAATCTTCATCACCAGACTTGTAAAAAGCCCTATATATCACCTTACATGACTTCTTTACTCCTAAATCGAACTCCTTATTGATGGCAAATTGCCGCACTGCCAGCTTGAACTCCTCCATTGTTGGGTACAATGTTCCTACCTCCATTGATGGGTTGTTCTTATCATATGAAATGACCATCTCACCTAGTACGGCATCACTAGTAGGAATGGCAACACCATCAGTATCTTGCCCAATCTCATTATCATTCCCTTCTTCATCCATTAGGCAATCAAAGCCTTGTGCAGGTATATTTGTTGTGCCCTCCTCTGTCAAGCCTAAAAGCTCACAAATCTGCGACTCACTCATAAGTGCAATACGACCTTCGTCATTATGTGTCTCCACTATTTGTATCATATCCCAATCAACTCTTTCCATATTTTTCACATGATCTACTTGGGACCTAAACAAGTGAAATCAACTTTAACTAATATGTACTACTATCGTGGTAAAAAACAAACAGAAAGCATACAAGCATATATACCTTTGCACTTCAAGAACACGAAGGTTGCACTCTACTTCCAGAAGAGGAGCAGTTGGAAGTAGCGATCTCGCTAGGGCTAGAGCAGTGGACATGTCTTCTGCCGGCTCATCCAGACCTTTTGCTGGACCTTCTGCTACCGCGTCCATGCCTTCTGCTGCCGGTGCGGCCATGCCGTCCAGTGCCTACGTGGCCATGCCCTCAGCGAGCCCGTCCAGGCCAGAGGCGGCGGCCGCGGCCACACCAGAGGCAGTGCCGGTCCTAGGATTGGTGAGGCCTATAGCCAAACTCAAACTCAGGCCCCCTTAATATAAAAATCATATCAATAGTACTAAATTTATAATGGATACTCTCTGACTCATTAATTCATTTACTTCTGTAAGAGTGGGTTTTAAGGATCTCGTCTTGAGGAGCTATTCTATCTCAACTGAGTTGGCAAAAAAAATTGTTTCATATAGATTTCTTAGCTTGTATGACTCTTAAAAGATTTATAATGGATACTCTCTGGCTCATTAATTCATTTACTTATTTCTTCTTACTCTTTTTTGTCTCCTTTTCTCATTTCTGGAAGACTATTTTTGACATAACATGGTGGTGTTGAAATTTAATAAACAGACAAAAGAAAGCAAATGAAACAAAGTATAATGAATAAATATAGATTGTTATTACGGGCTGCTACTTTCTAGCACTAGCAGCTACTAGCTTTCAAGGTGGATGTCAATACATATATACATCAGACATACAGGGGCCCCTTGGTCCAGGGGCTCTGGCAGCTTGCTCCCCGTTGCCCCCCCCCTCCAGTGGCGTGAAGTGACCAGAGGCGCGGCGCGGCCAGGCCACAACGGCCGACGCGCGCCACGCCTGAAGGCCAAAAGCGGGCCGAGGCCGGCGGGCTAGGGCACACAGCGGCCGTGCCGTGGCCAGCCAACGCAGCCACGCCGAGGGCGAGGGCAGCGCGAGTAGGGTAGAGGCAGCAGCGGCCCTTTCCGATCCGGTGGGGGCGAGTTCCTCTCCTCCATGGGCGGCGCGTTGAGGAGGATTGGGCGAGCGGTGGTGGTCAGACGAAACGTCTGGAAGATGAAACAAAACGTCGGGCTCATGCAAAAGGATACGTAAGGCCAGAAGGGTAAAAGAGTCAATTAAGAATTAAAATACATGTATTTTAATTACCAAAGTCAAGAAATACACCAAATGTCATCTAAAACAAAGTGCTAACGTTTCAAGTGTCGTTTTAGCGAAGTCGACGATTGGAGTCCTATAATAGCGAAGATGTCATGTGGGGCCACGCCTATACAAGGAAACGGCTCGCCCGGGATGGCTGCAGAGCCACTGAGGATCTGGGCGCGGTCACCATGCAGGCAGGCGCGCCAGCTGAAGATATGGGCGTGATCACCAAGCATGCAGGTCAGGAAGAAATGGCAAGTGGCTAGAAGGAAATAATAGCGGATCAAAGCCTTAGAATTAGGAGCAATTAGCTCCAATTTGTAGTGTTGAATGGCCTATATATATGAGAATAATCAGGATGAATAAGAATCAAGCAAGAATTATTACCTAAAATCTCTCTTCTTCTTCCTTCCAAACCAACTGGAGCTGAGGGGCAAAACCTCGCCCAGCTACCACGGGTCGAGGCTATGAACTCCGTAGCCGGGGTCCTGCGAGTCTCGGACCTGATGTTCTTGACAACCGCGACGAGTTTCTAGAGGACGTCCACTACCGGCTTGAACAAGCCCAGGCGGTACAGAAGGTGCACTACGACAAGCTGCACCGGCAAGTCTCCTACGCGGTGGGCGACTGGGTTCTACTCCGTCTACGCCATCGCCCGGCCGCCTCACTGCCCCAGGCGACCATAGGGAAGCTAAAGCCTCGCTTCTTCGGGCCGTACCGCGTCACCGAGCTCATCAATGAAGTTGTCGTGCGCCTCGCCTTGCCTCCGCACACTAGGCTGCATGACGTCTTCCACGTCGGCCTCCTCAAGATGTTCATCGGTGATCCGCCAGCTACACCGCCACCTCTCCTGGTCATCCACAACGGCGCCGCTGTTCCGGAGCCCGAATAGGCAGTGCGCATTCGCCTGGCTCGCGGCGTTCGACAGGTGCTCATCCAATGGAAGGGAGAAACCGCGGCCTCTGCAACCTGGGAAGATGTGGACTCCTTCCTCCACAAGTACCCTGTGTTCCAGCTCGAGGACGAGCTGCTAGTCGAGGGGGGAGAGATGTCATGTGGGGCCATGCCTATACAAGGAAACGGCGCGCCCGGGATGGCCATAGAGCTGCTGAGGATCTGGACGTGGTCACCATGCAGGCAGGCCCACCAGCTGAAGATATGGGCGTGATCACCAAGCATGCAGGTCAGGAAGAAATGGCAAGTGGCTAGAAGGAAATAATAGCCAATGAAGGCCTTAGAATTAGGAGCAATTAGCTCCAATTTGTAGTGCCGAATGACCTATATATGAGAATAATCAGGATGAATAAGAATCAAGCAAGAATTATTACCTAAACTCTCTCTTCTTCTTCCCCCAATCCGACTGGAGCTGAGGGGCAAAACCTCGTCCAGCTACCACTGGTTGAGGCTACGAACTCCATAGCCGGGGTCCTGCGAGTCTCGAACCTGACGTCCTTGACAGAAGCCCATTGTTTCACGTCTTATAATAGCAATTTTCTCGAGTAAAGTTAGTCTTTGGTTTATGATGAATTGTCTGCTACTTTTCTATTGTGAAATTTTGCACCAGTAACTCCTATATGGTTGTTTTTGTTTTGTCACAGAATTCCTTTTCTTACTGAACTACTTGCCCATCGCACAGGAGGAGCACTTTGTGTCGATTCTCAACTTCTCTTGGCCTCAGGTTACTTGTGTGACGCAGTGCCCCATCAGAGGTAGCACGGTGGTATTCGTGAGCTTCTGTGATAAGTCTAAACAGGTAGTCTTTGTGTACCATAAGAATAAGATGTGATTCTACCAGCTAGTCAGTTGAAAGAAATGATATTTAACTGTTGCACTGTTATCTTGCAAGTTTGAATGGAAACCGTTTTAGTGCTTACGAGATGTTTATATGCATAAATAACTTTGTGATCACTTTTCTAATGACAGAAATTTTATGATGTATCTCTGTAGATCCAGAAGTTTGCTGTACGTTTCCCACAGCTCTGTAACGCAGAATCGTTCTTAAGTTGTGTGAAGGTGAGTTTTCTGTATGTTTTCCAGAGGTCAATGATGTAGGGTCATTCTCAGATTGTGTGAAGGTTGAGTCTGTTATATTTCAGATATATTCAAATGCCACTTCTCTAATCCAGTGTCTATGCGCATCTATTTGTCAAGGATGACTTATGTTTCTTTTATGTTCTCTTTTGATGCTCATTAGAGCTTACTGTATCATGTTGTATGTAGCAACTGAAGTGCATTGAAATGAAGTATCGTGCATTTTTATGTTTACACTAGTGATAGATAGAAACATAAATGAATTCCATGAGAACATTTTGTAATCCCATTTTGACATTCTTGATGGCTTATCTTCATTTCTATTTTAATAAAATCTACATGAAAGAAATGTAACACCATTAATTTTTTTTTAATATGGATATTTCTTTAATGGAAAAGCAGTATATTTTCATTATAAAAAATATTTGGAACAACGGAGCTTATTTATGTGCTAATACTATCAGAAAACCTAATAGTGTTTTTCGATTCTAAACTTTTTTATTATAAAACCTTGAAGGATTTATCAAATTCATTTTATTATATGACTGCCAGAATTATTACCAGATTAAAGCATTTTGGATGTGTTTTACATTCTGCCTCTCTTTTACCAAAGTTTACTTGACATGAAACCACGGTGATGCTACATACCATTGTGAGAAAAAAAACCCTCAACTGCTGGGGAAAAGCTCCCTCACACGTTTTTTTAACTCTAGGAAGGAACCTCAGTCAAACTGATCGAAAAAACCCACTGAACCCAGACTTCATATATGGACGCACCGGAATTTGGGCTGACCACGACCCATTGGATTGGCTACAACTGCAATTACCACATGGTAGGAGGGCCCAAACCCACCACAAGTGCCACAGGCTGGCCCCTTGCCACTATTTTTTTGTGTTGTCGGCAAGGAGAGATTTTGGGCGCAACTAACCGCAGTTGCCATAAGCCAGCCCCTACCATTATTGCATTGCCAGCGAGGGGATTTTTTTTGCTACCAGGTTGGATTTGGAACCCTGGCCAGTGTCTCCCTCAACACTACTACCTATGATAGTTTCATTTGTTCTTGGACGGGTTAGGCAATGAAATTTAAGTATCAGACTAGGTTTCCTCTTTGCTTGTAAAAGAGTTTTAAAATATTAACTAAGTGTATTTATTTAATAATCATAAAGAAATGCTCATGCGAAACCATGGACATCATACCGTCTGGATGTGACTACGTGTGTGAAGATTCACCAGCATCTGAATATATTGCTTCTAATGGACTTCACCACAGGTAAGGATAGAACTTTTTAAGGTTTGTAAGTTGCAAGATGTATTTGTTTTGTGACATAAATGTTCCTAGGCCGGATGATGCTTCAAGCTTTGAGGAGCAAAGTTCTGACCACACAATAGATGAACCACCAATGAGCTACCATGAGGAACTAGACCAGCCTGTTCTTGAACCTCTCAGTGCTAACAACACTAGTAACAGCTACTCTGCTTTCCCTCCTAGTTTCAACGAAATGCTGACAAATTGTTCAATTGATTATGACCAAGGTGAACTAATTTCCAAAAAAGATTTACATTGAAATACAATATCCGTATTTTGATTTTGTTGGTCTATAAGCTTAATAACACAATGTAAATCTGATACAGAGGAACCCTGTCCATTGGCTGCATCAAACCATGCCTTTCAAGAGGTAATGTTGTATCTATTTGAAAGTCATGCAAACAGCTGCTGCCGAGAATGTTACTGATACTTTTAAATCATTCAGGTGTATGCACTGGACACTTCTCATGATGGTAAGAATGATTTTAACTTCATCTTTTATCTTAATTGTATCGATGCTCCTCCTCCCTTGATATGTAAGCTATGTTTCTTTGCAGTTGCCAATGAAGAAACGACTGTTGGTAAAGGAATGGATGCTGGTGAGGGAATTGATACAAGTATATTAACATATGACATAATGGCACGGATAAAGGTACCGTTCTTATTAAGAATCTTTTGGTCGTTTTTTCCTATTGTCAAGTATTTTGTAAATAGTAACATCATATTTTTCGTCAGCAGACATATATGGCTGATGAATCCTTTAATGGTATGTCTTCCCTTCCTCATGCTGTACATATTCATAAAAAATGAACCATACAACGGTTTCTCACCCTTTCAATTATTCTTGCATAGTACCCATACATTAAGTCCTCATTTTACATAGTAATATTGATTCAGTACTTTTCTTTCTCTAGATATGTTGTTCAAGCTTGATAAAGTCATTGATGAACTTGGTGGTGACATGTCGCTGTAGATAGCAAAACTTCTTCTGTGGTGAAGGAATGAAGATTTGTCTGTGGTCATATATACTACTAGAAAAGCAGGCACGCTTCGCGGCACCCTACAGCTCATTTCCCAAAAGCTCAGATTGTGAAGCAATAGTATAAATTACATATGGCTATACATATAAAGATCTGTCTGTGGTCATATATACTACTAGAAAAGCAGGCACGCTTCGCGGCACCCTACAGCTCATTTCCCAAAAGCTCAGATTGTGAAGCAATAGTATAAATTACATATGGCTATACATAGTAGATAGTATCTATATAGATTACATGCCAAGATAAATGTTGGGTACTACCAACCGTTTTTTGCGAACAATTTACAATACATGCACAAAATTTCCATCCAAAGCATAAAAGTTCAAAATACACAATTTGCTACCATGCTCATGTTTATCTAGATATCCAGTTGATTAAATAGTAACAGATTCTTTCATAGCCAAATGCTTCGTAATAGGTGATCACACATATATGCGAAAGAACAGGCTACCGTGGATGGAAAATCGAAAACTGGATAAATTCCTTTGCTATAGTGTTAATGTAGATTCAGTAGTGAAAAATGAAGCTCATTGGCAGAGTCCAAATTTATTAAATTTTGATTAGAGTTGCACGTTTTTTCCTCAAACCTTATAGTTAGTACATCTTTTGATGTGTGCCTTAAGATCATGTAACATTTGTCATTCTTCCAAATAATGAGAATCCCTACCGATGTCTTCACACCGAATTGAATCTCGGATCATACACCAACAAAGTCTAGCACGCCCGAGGTCACGAATGACCTAATCACCTAGCAAGTAACTCCGAAATCAGTATGTACTCATCAGTTGGTTAATAGAATCGATTTCAAGCTCATTCTTCGCCGACAGAGCTCGAGTATGTTTGGAATAGTGGAGAAACGATCAACAAGATCTTGAATGTACTTTCCATGGGACATATAAAGGCCATCAGAGGTGGAAGAGACCTCAGTCCTAAGAAAAGTAACAAAGAGGACCAAGACCATGCATGAGAATGCTCACTGGGACCACGCATGAGAAATTGCTCATTGGGACGTGCCTTTACAAAGGCAATGTACTCAGAATTGTCTCAAGTGATGATCATATAACCAACATAAAGAAGAAGACTTCAACCACGGGATGAAGCATGAATAAACAAGGCGGTATCATGAGCACTAAGAGAGAAACCAGTAGCAGTGATAGTAGAGGCAAATCGCTGAAACCAACCACAAGAAACTTTGTTTGAGGCCATAAAGAGAACAACGATACCTAGAAGGTGGTCGCTTGTATACCTCCTCATGGAGTTTGCCACTAAGGAAGGCATTTTTCACATCAAGTTGAGAGATGGACTGTGACAGAACCGTCCAATTTATACAAGATCAAGTACGGCTGTCCCCGTTTAACACGTTGACGCGCGCATACTTTCACTTATATAAACCTGGTAGTCCGCCTGAGTGTCACGAAGGACCTCGGTAAATCAACATCATAACCAAGATCGCATGATTAAGCAAATATACATCACATACACAGAGTTGCAGCGGAAATAATATTACAAATGGGTTCACCAATAATAGTACAAGTTTGGGTTTCAAAACCGGTTATAGGAAAACAACATAGCTTTCAAATGATTATATTAATATAAGTTCTAAATACATTGCTAGCATACGTGACATCCTCTGACAAAAGCATATAAATAATAACACTATACAGAGTCGCCGAGCCCACCGGCGGTTAGCCACCATCTGCAGCAGGCCGAGAACTTCACCTGCAACATGGTGGGATAAACTCTGAGTACTCGAATGTACTCAGCTAGACTTACCCGTCATAAATCAAAAATAAAGTGACACCAAGGATCATGCAAGGCTATATAAGTAGAGCTAGCTTGACACCATTTTGCATAAAAATCCACTAATTAAGCTATACATTTTATAATTCGGTCATCAAGTTCATTATAGCTATTCATCTCTAGATTAGCAACTAACCTATGCCAAACATGTGGTATATCATTTAGTAGCATAACAATAGTAACCATAACCAGTGTAAGATTTTCATATTCATCAGAACCATCATATTCCATAATTCAATTACTACGATGAAGGAGCTCCGTCAAGTTTCTCACTATCCGGGAGAAACGGTGATTCGAATCGATTTCAAGCAGCTGGGAATTTATTCCTAACACAAACCCAGACATACCTGCACCAACGTAGTCTTAAGTCACCTTTGGTACAACTCAGGTACACATTTCATGGGGTTCCATCAGCGCCGCACAACCAGGGACAGCCAGTTGCCAGGACGATCAGGACTACCCTGCCCTTGGGCTCACGTCTGGCTCCCCGCACATCCTTACTACCATCCAGAGTGCGCACTCTAACAGAACAAGGTCCGGCCTGAGTTGAGCTACTCGGCTTTGCATTCGGAACGAGTTATCCGGCCAGCTAAGTGAGAGGCATGCGTTCAAAATGACAAGAGGGCCTCCAACGATGCGGTCCTTAATTGGCACAGATGGAATCACATGAGTCCACACCGGTTTGTTCTTCTTTGGTGGTGTGGGAACGGCTTTTGGGGTCTTTTCTTTTGTCATTTGTTTAACTTTCTTTTGCTCCGACTTCTTTTTGATTTCTTTGTTCTTTTTCACCATGTTGTCCACCAATTGAGGTTGGATATGAACCTCCCTTAGGCCTTGTGGGTTTTAACCATACTTGATGCGAATCATGGAGCATTGCTCCTTCCTGGGCCTGAAGGCAAAATTTTCTTCATTACCATGGATATTGAAGCGGATTTCTCCGGCTCCAACATCAATTTAGGCTCCTGCAGTGCTCAAGAAGGGTCACCCAAGGATGAGGGTTGATTCTTTTGCGACCTCCATGTCAAGCACCATGAAGTCGACAGGAATGTAGCAATCTCGGATTTTCACCAGAATATCTTTGGCTATCCCTGTCGGGTAGCGGACCGTCGAATCGGCCAGCTAGAGCATCATCGGTGTTGGCGTCAGTTGCATGAGGTTTAGCTTGTGGAAGACAGCCTTGGGCATAACGCTTACGCTAGCCCCAAGGTCGCACAAAGCTTGGTCAAAATACTGGACCCCAATGGAACATGAGATTGTGGGGCACCTAGGATCCTTCTTCTTTTCAGGAAAGTCGAGTATAGCTACACTCTTCCGTTAGCTTGACGACCTCCATGGATGGTAGTGGTCGCTTGTTGTTGATGATGTCCTTGATGTACTTGGCGTAGGAAGGTACATGCAAGACGTCCATCAAGGGGACGCTTACATGTATCTTCTCTATCATCTCAACAAAACGAGCGAATTGCTCGTCCACGGCCTGCTTGCGGTTCCTTCTGGGAAACGACAGGTAGCTGGTGTTGACAAAGTCTTTTGGTGTCGTCTCCACTTTTTGTTTGTTTTCTTTTTCTTCTTGTGTTGTTGTGGGTTCAGCCTCTTGGCGCTGTTTTGCTTTTCATACAAAATGGTAAGGATTTGGTGGGTCACGAGTGGACTTACCACCCCTCGTGACCACCGCATTTACCTTTTCACAAGAATTTTCAGGTTGAGCAGAAATTTTTCCATCGTTACTAATAGGAATGGTAGCAACAATTTAAGCTAGTTGTGATTCTACCATTTTATTAAAACTTAATTGATTTTTAACAGCAAAAGTTAAACCTTCAATTTGAGAATTTATATTTTCATGAATTTTATCATTAGTTGTGAGCTTTTTAGTTAAACTTTCATTTATTTTGACTTGTCCAAGTACCAAATCTTTTATAGAAGGTTGATTCGAATTATAATTAGAATTGTAGTTCGAATTACCTTGCGGGCGGGACTGGTTGTTCCACTCGTTATTACCTTGTGGTTGGCGAAACCCGTTGTTGATGAAGGCAGCTTCTTCGCGGGTTTCGGGGCAATCATTCCTTGAATGGCCAATGTTTCCACAGACCTCACACGTCATGTGTGAGTCCAAGGCCTGGATGGTGCCCTTCATTGCTTCTTTGTCTTGGGCCCATTCCTCCAGTCTTTTCATCAAAAGATCTATTTTTGCGGCAAGCATATCCGTCTCCTTCATGGTATGCATACCTTTTTGTGATTTTCTTTCTTCCCCCAGCTTTGATTAGACACCATTTTATTGATGAGAGCGGTGGCTCCATCAATGGTGAGGAAAAGGAAAGCGCCTCTAGCCGCCGCATCGATGTGCCCCCTAGACATATTTGTTAACCCATCATAAAAATATTGAAGCACTAACCAGTTTTCAATCCCATGGTGCGGGCATGCTTGGATGTAGTCCTACAGCCTTTCCCATGCCTCGGGAATGGATTCCGTGGCGTTCTGCTGGAAGTTGGAGATTCGTCCCCTCAGGGCATTGGTTTTGCCCATGGGAAAGAACTTGGCGAGAAACGCCATGGAACATTTGTCCCACGAGTTGATAGCTTCTCGTTCCTTGTAGAACCACTGTTTTGCCTTCCCTGAGAGGGAGAAGGGAAACAAGCAGAGCCTAATGCTTGCAGGCTCAATGTCCTTAATGACGATAGTGTCGTAGAGCTCGAGGAAGTGTTGGAGATGCGCGTTCGCATCCTCACTTGGCAAGTCAGAGAACTGGTTTGCCTACACCATCGTGATGAGGCCGATGCGGAGCTCAAAGTTCCCATTGCCGGTGTTGACAGCCGGCCCAATGGGCATGTTGGCAACAGTAGGGATGGAGTAGTCGCGGAGCGTCTTGGCCATGCTTGGAGTAGCGGATGGTGCGGGGGTGACTAGTTCGTCTGTTGGTGGAGTGGTAGAAGAAGAAGTGGCACGAGACCGTTTCTTTCTTAGAAGTGCCTCTGGATTTTTGATGTAGCTTTCCGACAGGTTATAACCGGTCATACACTATCATGTTTTCATCCACAATAGGAGAAAACAAGCAAACTTAGCCTGCATAAACAATGGCTACCTTACATGCATATTATCATGAACATGTCCTACTAGATTCATTAATTAATTATGCCTT